TTCGCCCCTCGATTAGTCCGCCACTGGTCATACGTAAAATATTTATCGCCTTAAATTTCTGTCTACGTATTCAGGATTGAAAGGCGTTTGAGCGTATAAAATAAAAATAAAATGGTGCTTACTCATTAACTTGTCGCAAATTCATTGCGAATATGTCATACCACCATCGTAACCACTAGGTAACGTTGTTAACTTAGGTTTTATGTAATACTGCTTCGACATGATGTGTTCTTGAACTTTTCCTCTCAATTCTTGTTCAATTCAAAGTTATACTTTGTTTTAGATAAGGATACTATTAGGCACAGCTTCTCCTCGCATGTGATTTTGATTCACCGGAATGAACCACAGCCTTACAGAAGTCCCGTTGGAAATATAAATATCTATACCTACACTTGCGCTTCGTCTGGTGAGTGAAATAACAATCACTTATTCCACTTAAAAACGAATTTTCTTTATTTAGATAATGGGTGTGATTAAATTACGATTATTTTTTCTATAAAATCGCATAATATACAGTGAGGTAACATTTTCTTTTAAATAAAACCCATTTTACGTTGGATAATATTAGATTCTGGTAGCAAAGCTTTATTTAGAAAACTCATCAATGTGTCAGTCAAAAGTTACGGACAGACCCACCCCAGCTGCAACAGCTGCTTTACATACCTACATATACACATTTTTTATACCGTACATACGCAAATAACTGATTAAAAAAAAATAATTTATCCATTAAAAATTATTTATATAATAGTTTTATTTTAAACAAACGAATCGATAACATTGATCAGATGTCAGCACCTGATAAAAATATCCCATCATAAATTTGATAAAAAATCGTAACATTGTAATAGGTATCTTTTTGAAAACTTTGCATGGGGCAAGAGCGTGACATCTCTTTCGAGTGTTTTGATAATATTATGCGCGTATTATGGTTGCGATAAATGGATTTGCTTTTATTTGACTTATACCGCAATTGTATTTTTTAAAGAAATAAGGGAAATGACATGCGTTTTTTTAACCATAAAATATTTTTGTTGGTATGATGTTCAAGGTATTTCAAACAGTGTTTCATGTTTTGACACTGCCAATACATTAATGTAGAGATAATTAATTATTTATATATGGTACCATTCGCGGTCTCGGAAAAACTTATGATTATTTATAGTAAAAATGGATAAGAAGTTAATAGTAAATATAGGTACAACAAAACTCATACTAGGTAGGTATATTTAATTAAAAACAATTTACAGCTAATATTTCTTTAAGTATTTAAGGTTTATAATTAGTTTTTGTACGTTTAATTGTTATTTAGCCAACAGTCCCTATCTGTAAATATCTAATTTTGTAGGTTGATATCCGTCTATGGCAGATTAATATACAGTAGTGATTTTTGCTTACGTTTTGGGGAGTGACATTATTTGATGAAACAATCACGGAATGACAGCAAAGCTTATTCAATTGTTTGTTGTGACGTAGAAACACTAAATAGCATTGAGATCAACAAATAGGTTCTCATGTCTCTACTTCAGCGTATCACAAGATACGTTATAAGATAGATATAGTTCACAAGATTTATGTCACAAATTTAACAAACGTACGCGATGAGATTCTGATCTACGTTAGGAGATACCGGTGGACACCTTAAAAATTCACCAAAATTGCACACAGACAGATAACCGGGAATTGACTACTTTTTATGATGGCTTCAAATCAAAATAGGCAATAGTCTGCGCTAATGGTGATGTCATATTCAGTTTACGGACGGTAAGCGTTTATAGATTTTACTGTGTTCCAATATTGAAATAATGAACACTAGCTTGACGCAGGGTTCGCAACGTCGTCAGGAGTTCAAAATTAAAAACCATCCAATCCTACCAAACACTTTAAATGCGAAAGACCCACGCGCGCCGCGTGGAAAGTCCGCGGAAGTTACAAAGCTTCACGGTGTACCTGCATTAAGTAGAAGTATTTATACTATTGCATTTCTTCGGTAAGTGAGCTAACAACAAAGTTCGTAACAACAAGGTTCGTAACAACAAAGTTATCTGCCCCACACGCTTCTTCGATGTCCAGAGGTGTCGGTGATCATTTACGAACAGGTGAACCGCCAAATCGTTTGCTACCTCCTACCATTATTAAAAAAAATGTGGCCGATGCAATGATGCCAATTATTCAGGCCAAGTTTTCCGATCATAGGGGAGGGGAAAATAAAAGCGACGGTCGCGACCTCGGTTGGGTCGCGGCCGCGAAACGGCGCCGAGCAAACACGATCCGTTAAACACGTCAGCACGCGTGATCGTCTACGGAAAATCTCGCGGGAACTCTCCCAAGAAGGTCGGTGAGCGATCGATATTAGTTGAAGTGTATTTCGCAAACACAAAAAGCCAAGCACGAGACAATAAGTTGTATAATAATAGACAACCTTTGCCTTACGGCTGGGCCAAAATTACGGCGAGCGTTAAGTCAAAGGCTGCCACGCGTAACGATTCTTATACGTGCAGGTTGCTTCGTTTTCCCTCCGCCGGGAATTGGCAAATCTGCACTTATGGCTCCAATTAAGAATGATACCGGTACCAGCACCGGAATTTGAAGGTAGGGTGCTCGTGTATAATGACTAAAACGTAAAACTCATACGTATTCCATATCCCTATAATAGGGTGTCCGAAATAATTTCGTTTGTGGATTACAGGATTTCAGCCTTATAGTGAATGAATGTTCAAAAAGTTCGTAATATTTCTGATGTATCATCATACATTGTATCTACGAAGTTAAATATCACAAAAGTCTACTTTGCTCGATTTACCGATTTAAGATGTGGTTCTTTCTTAATCAGTCTGTGTTAGTTTTATTAAGTAGGTTATAATTATATCGACATCTTGTACACATCGTAAACGAATTTCAATAAAATGGTGAAAAATACGTTGCGTAATGCTTGCATGTTACGTTTTTCAGACGCTGAACAAACAAAATATCGTGCGATCATGTTCGGTCAATTTCGCATTAGTTTTTCGTGACTACACGATAATTTAACATAAACTAAAATAATTTTCGGGTAGGAGCTAATGCACGAGTGGTTTTTTTAGGCATAAGGAAACTGCGGCTACTGCGGCATTTATTCAATTCAAGTTGTAACTTTTTTTAGCAGATGTGATCGACAATTGGACTTGGAATTTTAAGCCCGCGAATCAAAATCTCAATAGCACGCTGCGTGTGTTTTTTGGACGTGATCCTTTCTATAACCTAAGGCGCTTTTGAAAATTTACCGTTACATGACCGCCAGCGAAAAATCGGCATATTTGGTATAACATCTTGGCTACATAATACGATATTGGTTGGTAATGTAGTATATCCTCCCGCTTCATACATGAAATAGTACACATAACTAGGTTCATCAACCAGTTTGGAGAAGACTTTAAATCTAATCTATTCTGAGAGAAAGTAGTTACCACTGCTCATGGAATCCCCGAATCCCCATGGTGTCATAGTTAGCCAGTGACCCCAGAGGGCCCCGGTTACCTCACTACCTAAAAACGTACTTAGTATTAAGTAGTACTTCTTTACAGCGGTCTTCAGTGACCCCGTGTTTCCCACGCGAAAGAACCTGCCCAACCATAGAATATCAGAAAATGCTACTTCTAGTAGAGGCACAATGTAAAAATTAGAATATTTTATAAATATTGTTTGCATGTTTCTCTATGCGCTCGTGAACGATTCGTCTGATTGTGATGAAATTTTTGTGAGTTGTTCTGTTTACAAGCTGTTAATAAGTAAATTTTTACTTAAAAAAAGAACATTTCCTCGTGTTTATCCTCTGTAAAGTCTAGTTGTACATAAAATGTATAATATATTGATGACAATTCAGGTAAAAGACCTCAGACATTCACAATGTTTTCTCCCTATATTCTAAATTAAAACTTGTAGTTGTTTTTTAAAGTATCACATGCCGTGTCACGTGTTGAAACTGGATGTTGCTAAGCTCCCGCGGAGGAAATTTTGCTTCCCATTAACATAAATAACTATTTCGATCGTATTAATTTTAGTGTTGCTACTAGCAGGTCAATGTTGATTGATTTAGCTATTTACATACATATATTTGATTTAATTTGCTTGTATTATTTAATTTCAGGAATGATGTATTAATATATAAAACGTAATAAAAAAATAATATATAAAACGATTATATTCGGTTAAAGTTTGAATAATGTCATTTCGTTACAAAGTATTCTTACGCGTATTCGAATTATTAAAATCTGAACGTGATAATTTGCTACAGCAAATAACATAAATAATGCTAAAGTTGTAAATTATTAATAGTTTTTTAGCTACAGTCACATTTATTCGGTAAAGAATTACATGATCGTACTCAAGTACCAACTAATATAACAAATTCTCATAGAATCCGCCAAATGGTTACTGCACAGTAAATATTTACTACAGTACAATTAGATTACTGAACTATCTAGATAGAACTCAAATAATTTACCTACGTACATACGAGTATGTATGTACAGAGCAAACCTAAGGGTCTTAATTCTGATAATTCTCATTCACTCATTTTTAATGTTGCGCCAGTCCATAAAGGACAACTTTAAATTATAAAGGACTGTTTTGCACAAATAAGTTTTTAAAATATAATTATTCCATATGTAATATAACATTAGAAATTGAAAAAGTTAAAAAATTGCAACACGAAGATAAAAAAAACACAATGGCAACTGTTGCCCTAACAAAAGAAAATTCCGAAAATATGAATGTCATTATTTTTCGCGGGAAAAGGTCCATATATGCGAGTCAGCGTTACTTTTCGCGCCAGTTCAAATTGATCCGTCACAAAAGTTTGACGTGCAGCTGCATTATTAAAATGTTCGCTGTATCGTGCGAAAACAAAAAACTTCTTACAAGTGATCAGCTTTAACACATAAAGTAATATTATTTATTTATATTAAAATTATTTCCTGTGATATTGTGACGAACTTTATTTGTAAGTGCGAATTAGAAATATGGCGGAAGAAAAGTAAGTAGTACTACCTAATTTAGTTTAAATTGCTTGTTTGTTTGTAATTAAATTATTATAATTTGTTTGTAGAAAAATACGCTTTAATTTGTTTCGTAAATTTGTTATAATAGCTGGTACTTTTCGCGGCCTATTATAAACCGATTGGTATTTATTTACTATAAAGTACTAGATATTATTTTTATGCTAACAACATTTATCAGCGCACGTGCCATATTTGTGTTTACCGTGTAATTAGAATTAAGTAAATTTGCTGAAACCTATTTTTTTTTGTTTTTAAACAAATACGTTATCGTAAACTATATAATTACAAAACTTAACAGAATAATTTATAAGAATGTTTATAAGTATTATAAGATTGATAATAAGTGCTCTAAGTGCCGGTTTCTATATTCTATCTACAGATAGATTTTGTTACTGGATTTTGTTACAGAATTTAGGTATTATGGAGCTAATGTCAAATACCTATCCATAGTAACCAAAACTATCTGTAGATAGAATATTGAAACCGACCGTAAGTCATAAATGTTTACGTTTTTCTTTAATTGTATTGAAGGAATGCTCAATTAGTATTAGTAAACTCATACTAACTTGAGTGAACGAACAATATTGGTTACCTTATTTAAAACTATGAAAAAATAACAAATTTAATAACTACGAAACCACAAGTAGCAGTTATTATCAATGAACATCCTGTTTTATCTTCGTTACCCTTTTATTTTGCATGTACATTTGTGGTGGTCTAATTTACGAATTTAAACGTCGTCTTTAAATATTGTTCGAATACGAAAGGAAGGATTGAAAGGCATCTTTAGAAATTGACCTTTCATTCCGAGAAATCAGGATGATGTCGTTAGTGTCACTGTTTTGAACCTGACCTAAAGAAATAAGATTAAAATCCACGTATTTGCATATTTATTACAACCGCTACAATATGTAGTATTGGATTTCTTACGCGGTCACCGATGTGTCGCTGTATTCTACATTTACATGTTCGTAGGCTAGTGCTCCATTCTTCTATTAAAACCTAGTAACTTAAGGATGGAATACGCTAGATTTTTTTTAGAACAATCTACTGAATAGTAGTGTATATGATAAAATCGTCCATACAAGAGTCGACTGAAGCTCTAAGGAAGGAGTAAACATTTTTCTCAATGTAGTCTTGGCCATGATCTGGATTATTTATTTAGTTTTATTGCTTGTCTCTGCAATAAAAATGACTCGATAAAATTGTCGCAAAATAATTAAAAACGAAATCGATAGCGAAGGCGTCATTTTTCTAGTTTTTAAATATTCATCGTAATAATGTAATTTTAGAAAGTGTGTACAACTGATGTAAACCAACCAAATGAGATAACGCTGCAGCTGATGTAAACAAACCAAATTAGATAACAAAGATTGTTAAAAATGCATTAAAAGCAAAATATATAAAAAGAGATTTTAGACCATATATCTTAGTGGTGAGAACGTCTGGATGCGTAGTCCGGAAGACGCAGGCTCGAATTCTGGCAGCGGTTTCAGTTTAATCGACACATTTAAGTGCTTATCTTGATTATTTTCCAGGTGTTTATATTTTTTCACATCTTTTAGTATCTTTAGAAAAGGGAATACCTTTCCACGCTCACTACTTAAACAGGTGATTCCAATGACAATGTGTAAATATTAAATTAGTTCAGACGACGTTAACAGCTATTATTTACTTGTAATCTCTACGATTGTTTAAAGAGAGATCATTGTGAGAACTTTACATATAACGCAACCATGACTTCCCCGAGTGACTACCCCATACGGCAGGCAGACCATATACCCAATATGACTTTTAGAAGGCTATTTTTAAAGTTTGCTTTCTTAAGATTAGAATGATGGATGTAGCAAACTCAAAATGTTGTTCTTGTAAAATGTGAATCAGGGTATATTTTCGATACATAGGTATAATATACATATACATTGTATTTCAATGTTGTAAGACTATCGCCCGGTTTCTGAAACACCGATCATCGTAGATGTCAACTAATCAGCTGTCAAATGGCTATTTCAAATGTCATTTGAGTTGCCAAAAGGATGGTTAAACTTTTTGAATTGATTGACATTCTGATCATTAAGAAGATCATTCTGGTGAGTCTATCTGGAAAATTCCAAATATTTGAAATGCTATATCAATAGAGATCGAGACGGCAGAGTGCCGTTAATTTAGTTATTACAGTTAGATTGAATCATTTGTTTTATATTAATATATATATGTTTCACGTGAAAATATACCGTGAATATACAGCGTGTCGTTACCATCGCGACAATAAATGAACACACATCTAACGCTAATTGCCAATAATCATAAAAAAATATTAACGTTAAACAAAATCCATAATTAAAAAAAATAGTTTTCAAACAAACTATTAAGTAAAAAAGAAACAAAATTTGTAACATCCTATACAACTCGCGCCACGGCGTCGTATTATAAGCCTCTCCTTCTAACAGTATGTTTTGTCTCTTTTAAATTCATTCAACAAATTCATATGCTTTGTGACCTTTACAAATGAACTTTACGTTACGCTTTTATAGGTAAGGGTGTTCTAAAATTCTTTGTTTTGGAAAATTTAATAACTCTGAAAATATTTATGTTTAAAGAATGTAAATTTTAGATACAATTTTAAAAATTTATCCTCTATATGTGTGTTCATTTATTGTCGCGTTGGTAACGACACGCTGTATAACGCATAAATTCATTTTATTTTTTGAACATTATTCTTTCCCTATCATATATTCCTCTTAATATTTGATGATATTGGTACTTTATATCATAATATAACATTCTCCACCCATTAGCAATAATTGTATAATTATGCTTGAAACAACGGATACGATTTGGTGAATTCCAAAATGTTGCTTAAAAGAAGATCCGCTTATAAAGAGCGTTAATAACACATAAGCTATGAACTTCGGAATATTCCTTAAGACAAGGTGAAGGTGATTGGCAAGTATCCAGACTGTCTCATCCAGAATGTGTTCATGTGCAAGCATTGTCCGTTTGCGTGATGCGGCTATTGAACCTTTTTGGTTTCTGTTCTATTTATAAATTATTTTCAGTATTTATTTAAATCAAATCCAAAGTGGGCGAAGATTTCGCCGATATCGATGTAAATGTTCGCTATAAATTTAGACACTGCTGATTTATTGCGTGGACCGAATATAGGCTTCGGTGAAATATGACATGACTTTTTTTAATACATTTCACGTCTTTAGACATATATGGTTTTCAAAAATAAACCAGAAAATTAATTATGCGTGCATTGAGGTTTGAGCTCGTGAACTCAGACACGCGACCTAATATCCTAACGCCTGGGTCAAATTAAAAGAACTTCTACCTTGTTTGCAGTCTTGCATACTTTTAGTATACAACAGGTTTCTAAAACGATTTTAATCTAATACGGCATTTCTTTTGTCACACTTTGAATCCTTAAATCTTGATAAATAGAAAAATGATAGATCACTTATTTAATCAAATTGATTACATCACAAGAAAACCATACTGAATCACTGGAGTAGGCCCCCTCATTTGCTTTTTAATTATTGTCTATTCCGATTCCAGTCAAGGTTGTTTGTAGGCTATGCTAGAGGGGGAAATATCTAAGTAGAAGAAGTAAAGGTTTAATTACACGTGCTATCCAAAAGCATAATTCTTTACTAGTAGTACCCACATTTAAGCGTGCTCTCCGAGGATGGGTGCTTATATTTTTAAAAGATAGCTTGTTTTAAAAATATAAGCACCCATCCGAATTGATCATTTCCTCCATTTTGAAGTCGGTTAAAAATGCTAGTGCGAAAGTGGACTTGTAGTTGGAGTAAGAAATCATAAGATTACTTTTTGCATGCATACTTTATTGAAATCAGAGAGAGTGATTATGAACATAAAGCATGTGTAGCCGCTACAAGCCCATCGGTGGCAACCTATAGTGACTTGGAGAATATCTGGGATCTCTTAAGCATCGGTGTACCTTTACAATGATTATATGTTGTACACTTCAGGACTGAATAATGCCGCCTCGCAGAAAAGACGGCCACACTGGGCCACCCTGTGTTTCGTTTATTCTTCCTCGTCCACGTTGGCGGCGGGGGAGGATAAGGACGCCAACCAGAGTCCCCTCTAACTCATCATGTACATCCCTATTCTACAACACAGACGAGTAGCGATAGCGTCATCTGTGCAAAGTCCACGTGCTCCCATTGCCAAATCCCTAAATGACGAATATTCGTGCTCGCGCTAATTGCGCGTTTATTTCGATCCCATCACGACGTCGTTACGTGTGCATGCTCATATTTTAGTGTTTCGGGTCGTTTCAAGCTTTGGCGTGTCCAAGGATGAGTGTCCCGAGCGAGGTGTAGGGTTGTGTGATACAACTCATACAACACGCATTTAAATTTATGACTCTTTTCAATAAGAAAAAAGGCCAAGTGCGAGTCGGACTCGTGTACGAAGGGTGCCGTACCATTATGTATGAAAACGGCAAAAAATCATGTCTGGTGTAGATCATGTAGGTGTGGAAGCCTCACTTAAATATTTTTTATTGTTTTTTAGTATTTGTTGTTATAGCGGCAACAGAAATTAAGGAATCTGTGGAAATTTCAACTCTAATTATCACGGTTCATGAGATACAGCCTGGTGACAGACGGACAGACAGACAGCGGAGTCTAGTAATAGGGTCGGTCCTATTTTACCCTTTGGGTACGGAACTCTAAAAATTAGTAATTTCATGAAGGAAAACATACGAGTATGTGGTTCGCGTTCACGGCGTATTATCTGTTCAAATATTGATATGTTACACCTGTTACTGTACTGTCAATTGTACCAATTAATGGTGATAGTAACGTTTACCACTATGCCAAGTCTTTGTGAAATGCTAAATTTGTTGGCACTGTTTCGCAACTTAGAATTGTAACTCAATTTTCATCGTTATGTGTTCAGTTACGGTGCAACGGAATTTATTTTGTACTAGATAATGCAA